CCCCCGCCCCGCCCCTGCGCAGGACGCCGTCAGCAAGGGCTCCCCGCTGCTGGCTGTGCTGGGCTTCCTGGTGCTGCGGCTCATCTGGTCGGTGCCAGAGGCGCTGGTCACGGCAGGTGGGTGGGTGGGGTGGTGGGAGGTGGGTGGTGTGTGTGGTGGTGGTGGGTGGGTGGCGGCGGCGGCAGTGTGTTGGCGAGTGCCGCCGCAGCGGGGTGCGCCTTGCACGGCTGGCCACTCGCTGGCTGGCACAGCCGGCTGGTGGGTACGGCTGGGCGCAAACTCAGTCCGCTGCGTTGGTCTCGCTGGTGCCGCCGGTTGAGCCGCCCCAGCCCCACCGCCAGCCCGCCGACCCCTCCCGCCGCCCTTGTGCACCCCGCACCACACCATACCACACAATGACCACACCACACCACACCACACTTCACCCCCCCTGCAGAGCTGGCCACCACCTTTCCCGAGAACTCCGGCTACGTGGCCTGGGTGACCGCCGCCTTTGGGCCCTTCTGGGGATTCCAGGTGCGGCCCCCGCCTCTGCATGCGGCGGCAGCGGCGGCAGCCACGCTGCTGTCTGTCGGGAGCCGCTGTCAGTCGCTGCCGCCGCCGCCGCTGCTGCTTGCGGGGCATGGGGGCGTGGTGCGGCGGCGGCGGCTGGCGCGGTGGCGGCCGCTGGCCTGGGCCCCTACTAACAGCCAGGCGGCCGCAGCTGCGCCGCCCCCAGCCCAATCCAGCGCAGCACGCCCCCGCCCACCGCTGCCTGCCCACCTCTCCCCCCTCCCACCCACCCCCCCTCCCCCGCCCACCGCAGAAGGGCCTGTACGCCTGGGTGAGCGGCGTGACCGACAACGCCGTCTACCCGGTGCTCTTCCTCAACTACCTGCAGGTGGGGTGGGTGGGTGGTGGTGGGGGGTTGTGATTAGTGTGTGTGTGTGTGCTGATGTGTGTGTGGTGTGTGCCCGCCTCAGCTACCTGCATGTTTGGGTGGTGTGGTGCGTGTGTGTGTGTGGCGATGGTGGTGGTGGGGAGGGAGAGGGAGAGAGCGGGAGAGAGGGAGCGAGTGTGTGTTTTGGCGGAGGGGGGTGGTATCCGTGTGCCTGGAGCTGTCCCTCGCCCATCTCCAGGCCTGGGCGTGTGAGCGTTGGATGGAAGCAATTTAGCTAGCGTGTGGTTTTGCTCGATGGCAGGCAGCGCGCTCACCGCCGCCCGCCCCCCGCTGCCCCTGTCCCCCCCTGGCCGCCCCCGTGCCGCGCAGGAGGTGTGGCCGGTGCTGGAGAGCTACTGGCCTCGCCTGTGAGCCTGGCCGCCACGCCCGTCGGCCCACCCCTGCCTGCCACTCCCGCCTGCCCCCGCCTGCCCCCGCCTGCCCGTCCCCGCGCGCTGCCAGCCAGCCTGCATCCTGCTGCGCCAGCGTGACACTTGCCCGCCTGCCACCCAGCGTTGCCCCACCGTCTCCGCCTGCCGCCACCTGCCCCCGCCCACACCTTGCCCCCCTTCCCCGCCCGCAGCGCCTTCCTGCTGGCCTTCAACATGGCGCTGACGTACCTCAACTACAGGTGCGGTACCGGTACCGCCCCGCCGTACCGCCGCATTGCCTTTTTAAGAAACGGTCCTGCTACTGCGGCGGCGGCGGCGCCGGTGGCAGCGGCCTTGGGCCGGCATGCCCAGCCGGGGGCACGCCCCGCTGCGCGCCAGTCGCACGCCCGGCTGGCCTCTGCTTTTGCCAGGCGGCGCTCGGGCGGCCGCCCACCGCGCAGCTTGCGGCGCCTGCCTTGTGCACTCCCTGTGTGCTCCCTGTCTGACAGAAACGGAAGTTAACGGCATGGCTGCCCGCTCCTTGCAGGGGGCTGCACGTGGTGGGGGAGGTGGCTGTGGGCATGACCATCTTCACCCTGCTCCCCTTTATGGCCCTGTGCCTGCTAGGTGGGTGGGTAGAGGGCTGGCCCAGGGCGGGGCTGGCCTAGGGTGCTGGCTGGTGTCGGGTGCTGGCTTAAGGCGGGGCTGGCTAGCCAGCCCCGCCTCCGCTGGGAGCCGGGGTATGCGTTGGTGGGGTGGCGCGGGTGTGGAGGCGGGAGTGGCACGGCTCCCCGCCGGCCCGTGCGCCCCCACGGCCCCGCCGGCGCCTG